CCTGGAGCAGAAAGGAGGTTATCTCCTTCACATTTTTTTAAATACCAGGCCACTATTGTAGAACAGGATAATACAGAAATTGCGGTCACTAACATTGTGAATCCAGCATCCTTTTGCAGGAACAATCGACAGAACCACTAACAAAAGACTGCTTGACCACCATAGAGACTGTATATTCGAGCCGACCAGACTTGAAAGAAAAACCTCTGGAAGATGCTGATTCTTGGTTTACTGATGGTAGTAGCTTCATGAAAAATGGTAAATGAAAGGCAGGATATGCCATTACCACCACTTCACAGGAAAAAAAAAAAAAAAAAAAAAATCTAAACCTTCACCTGGTAACACCTCTGCCCAGAAGTCAAAAATAATAGCATTAATAAGAGCCCTGGAACTGGCTAAAGATAAAAGGATAAATATTAGGACTGATTCTAAATATGCATTTGGTGTGGTCCATGTCCATGGTGCTATCTGGAAAGAATGTGGACCTTTGAACACACAAGGGAAACAGATTAACCATGCTACAGAAATTCTACAATTACTGGAAGCTGTTCAGCTACCTGAAGAAGTAGCTGTTATGTACTGTAAAGGGCATCAACGAGGTGGCTCTGATCAAGAAATTGGAAATAATTTGGCCAGCAACTGAACAATTTCAAATCATGTCCTTAATCCCTGATGGCAAACTAACAATTGAAAAAACTAAACCTAGATATTCAAAAGAGAATAGAAAATTGATTGAGGATCTAAAGGGACAGGAAAATAGAGGGTTGGGCTCAAATACCTGGTGGGCGAATTGTAATCCCCTATAACCAGCTGTGGATGTTAGCTCAGGAAGAACATAATAAAACTCATTGGGGTAGCAACTCTTTGCATAAATATTTAGACAAACAAATCTATACACCACAATTCAGTTAGTGACAAAACAATGTCAGCTATGTCTTAAGAATAATCCTAAGACTGAAAATAGAAATCAAACTGGGACAATTGGGACAGGAGGTTATCCGGACAGCAGTGGCAAATAGATTTTTCTGAATTATCACAAAAAAAACAAAAAACCAAAAAAAGGGGGGGTTATCGATATTTATGGGTGTTAACGGATACTTTTTCAGGCTGGCCAGAAGCATTCCCTTATAGAATAAATAATGCAAAACAAGTGATTAAAATATTATTTAACAAGATAATAAGCTCATTTTGGGGTACCAGAGGCAATTTCTTCTGACCAAGGCTCGCACTTTAGTGCAAAATTGTTACAAGAAATTAGCAAAAAATTAGAAACTGATTGGCAACTACATGTTCTATATAGGCCTCAGGCCAGTGGGCAAGTAGAAAAGATAAACCCATCTGACTAAACAACAAATTAGTAAAATATGTCAGGAAACGAATTTATATTGGTACCAGGCATTACCACTGGCTTTATTAAGAATTCAAACTAGACCCCGGTCAAAAGAAGAGGTTAGCCCATTTGAGATTTTGTGTGGAAGACCGTATCAGTCCCAGTTTAAAGGAGAAAGTCTTCAGGAAGTGGGAGAAGGCTATCTCTGACAGTTTCTGATCAATCTGGGAAAACAATTGGAGGAGATAATAGGGAAAAGAGCAAGACGTTTGGATTATCCAATTCACCCTTTCAGATCTGGAGACTGGGTTTATGTTAAGAATTTTTCAGGAGATCCTCTACAGGAGAAGTGGAGCGGACTATACCAGATATTATTGATCACCTTTACAGCAGTGAAGATAAAGGAACAACCTGCTTGGATACATTATTCAAGAATAAAGAAAGCACCAAAGCCAGAGAAGACATGGTGGATCGAACCTTCAGTACCCTTGCGTATGAAATTGTGTCGGTCACAATTTGGACTCATATGATAACTGGCACACAAGCTTGGGACCAGAATTTATACCTGAAATTAGTGCAGAATGTTACTAATGTTTTCATCATAATGACTGTTGGGTGTGTGCACAGTTGCCTAAATCAGGAGAAAGCCTGGATCTTCCATTAATTGGAGTTCCAATTCCTAACACTGTCTCATGGACAAATTTGTGAGTGAACACTAGCAATCTGTATTTGAAGGAAAGGTAAACATTTGAAATAGTTAATCCTAACCCAGGTAATAAATACTACACCTGTGCACAAAGATGTATTACATCAGAAACCAGGGTAGGAGATCAGGCTTGTTTAAATGCCACAGATGTAGGTCACCATTCAAATTACAATCATACAATTAACATAGATGGTATCGTAGATCAGTGATGGCCCGTTCCTAAAGGGAAAGGATGGTATTGGTTATGTGGAAAAATACTTATAAGATTCTACCCCCAACTGGAAGGGGGCATGCACCTTAGGTGCTGTAATACCCAATTTTACTATTATCAACAGGTACCCTTCCGGGACCTGGATTAGAAGTTTTGCTAAACAAATTAAGGGAGGGTTTAACCCTATTATTGAACGGCACAACTCTTTTCACAGTTTTGTACAAGGGCTAATTCCATCTTTGGCAGTAAGTGAATTAGAGAAGGCAATTGTAAATATCTCGGCAACCATAGAGGAAATGGAAAGTAAAAACATCGATATAATCCAGGCAGAACAAGAGATAACTAGCCTATCTAAGGTGATATTACAAAACTGAATGACTCTAGACATGTTACTGGCATCACAAAAAGGGGTTTCTTCCATAATCAATGAAAGCTGTTGTTCCTATACAGACTAAAGTGGCAGAATTGAAACAGATCTGGAGGAAATTTGGAAACAAACTAAGATATTTCATGAAATGGCCATGGATGACACCTCCTGGGGTTTTGAAGAAACATGGAAAAAGTTAACTTCATGGTTACCCAATCTCTCCTGGTTGAGGCAACTGGTTGCAGGAATATTGGTGTTAATTATTTAAATATTGATTACTTGTGGTATGATACAATGTTCCCTCTGGTATTGTAAACGGTCTATGATAAATTACGAAGAATGGAAACGGAATGAAACTAAGCACCAGGTAGAAACGGGAAATTATTTCAAAAAGACTTTTGATGGTAATGGTAATATATAAAATGTTGCAAAAGAATTTGCAAAAGGACAGAAAAAGGGGGGAATTTGAGACAAAGGGGCACAAAATCACAAAATGGGATATAGAAACTTTTATAAGTAGTTTTAAGTAATGTTAAGTTTGATGGCTTTGTAACAGTAGCAATGGAAAATTACTGGGGTGCATGATACATAGAGAAAAAAAAATAGAGTACAACTGGAGAACATACTGAGAATTCTCACAAGATAAATCGTTATAGTTGGCCTAGTTTTAAGAAAAACAGTCTAGAAGAACAGGACACAGGGATAAGGAGTATCTGGGAATGGCAGGTGTCCAGGATGGGCTACAGTTAAACTAACTGATAAGTAGAAGGATAGGAGGATTATTATGTCTCTGGTGCTAACGAACCAATTAAACTGGTATGAGCATCTACTGCGCGTGCTTCAAAGGCTGCCAGAAGTGATGAAGATTGTTGGAAGAAGTAAACGACCCTCAGAGACCACCACCACAATTCTGTACGCATGCGGGGAACTCTCTGGAAAATGATGTAATCCATACGTAGCCTCATGAATATGTATGTATGCCCAGGGACTATATAAGGGTGGCTTGTATAACAATATGGGGACACACGTTAGGAGGATTTATCCCCCGTGTCTCCCGGCGCCGCAATAAAGAATACCTGCTTGTCAGCTTGAAAACTTTGTTGGCAAGTTTGTTCCTGGAGTTTTCTCCGAATCAACAGAAAGGATACTCAAATAGAGCTTATTTCTCTACGTTTTATGGAAGTATGACTCTACATAAAGAACAGTGCCCCAAATTTGCATCTCAGTAAAGAAAAGGTACTTCATTAATTCAGTGGTATTGCTGGACATCAGTGTATCCCTCCAGAGAGATCAATGCAAAACTCTCAGCCACAGGGGAGCCCTCTGTCACAAACCTTATCAGACTGTCAAGAATCCAACCCTGAAGCAAAAAAGTGCAGAGAATGAGACAATTACTGCTGCTCATTGCTCATCTTATCTTGTAGTATCAGGACACCAAACCTGGTAGGCTGGGCTGGTGTCAATGGTAAATACAGGGAAATCCTGAGAAAAAATACAAGCAGGGCACCTGAAGTTGTACTCAAAACAATTAAAATCATCTGCAGTGCAGACAAAAAGGCACAGTCCAAGAACCCAAGTTTTTATACATGACTTCTCTCCATCCTCCATAAAATCATAAAGATGAAGTATCCCTGAATGAGAAACAAAAATTACAGTTCAGATTGAGATACCTAGGAAATTTTTAATGATTGCTGCTCTATATGCAATGGCCTTACCAGCAAACATTTGAATCTAGAATGGAAAACTCAGACTCCAAGCAAATAAGAACACATGAACACTCACACTTTCATGGAAACAACTCAATTTATGTGATGACAGGCAGAGATACGCAGAATGCTTAGCTAATTACAAGGTGATGATAATTATTGGTATAAAACCAATGTTAAAGGCAGATGAAAAGTGCTAGTGTCATTTTTTAGGCACAGAGTTACAAGACTCAGAAATGTCAAGTCAAAATTTCATTTTGAAATGCAATTCCAAGCCTTTATATGTATGGGTTTTTTTAATCTAATGACAAGCTAGAATCCTGCACTTAGGAAAATAACTTTCTTTGGTAAGTTGTATCAGGATTTTAGTATCTTGTTTCTTCTCCACAATACAATAAGGCTACCACTCTAACACAAGCCCTCTGTTTTAAGGAAGGCATTTCTGAATTCTTTGATGTAAAATAAACAACTTTATATTACAGCACTCCTGTTCTCAATCCAAACAAAACCAAACCACCACAGTCCATGGTCACAATCACATCTACCTAGAAGAGGGATACCAGAAGACAAGATAAAATGCAGAGGACATCTCTGCATCTGAGAGAACAGTGTTCTGTAACAGTGGAGGCTGTATTACTTCATCATGTCTGTGTGCTCCAGGGACAGCACTCCATTATCTGTTTTACAGAGGGTACCATGAGAAGCGTTCCAAGAGCTGCTCTGTACCTGCAGTAGGAAAAGCTACATACTCAATGGGGACTTGTGAACTACAGGTACACAATTTTGCTTTGATATAAACCCCTACATATGTTCCCCGCTACCAACTTGTGAAGAGGTTCCTCTCCCCCAGTTAATAAATCATTGTTCTGGTTTTATTTACTTCAAGATGCAGATGCCTTTTTCAAAGTGCAACATGTAGTTCATCAAAATCGGTGCTCATTTAGGCTTTGTATAAAACACAAACTATACCATTTTTTCTGCACAGATTTCCTCTGCTGCCTTGTGAATAAGCCACGCAGCACAGAGGCAAACTCTCGCACACAAGAAATATAATGTACAAGCTTTTACTCTCTTTACAAATCTCCATATGGTGATTGTATACCAAAACCAATGGAACACTAAGCAAAACATGTTGCAAGCAATATTTATGAGATTTGGTGCTCTACTTTATTGCTCACTTCAGGCAGGAAAGCATCCCCAAATGGCAGAAATCATGACAAGGCAGATTGCCTGAAGCCATGTTGAAGAAGCAGATGATATGGCCCATCCAAAAGCAGCATTTTTCAGTATGTGCAGGGGTTTGTGGCTGTGACCTTGAAGTGATGAAGAGGGTGATCTGATTGTGTTATTTTGGCTTTCAAAGCTCAGCAGACAAGAGCTTTTCCAGCATTTTCTCCCCTTTCACTTCTAGGTCAACTTTACAGCTACAAAAATTATTATTGTAACTTGGAAATCAGTGGTCCCAGCCCTCAGGATAAAGGCCTATGGAGTGCTTTGCTGGAGAGGCTCTATCAACCTGCACAGAGAGTAGCTATCTGCCCACTTTTTTTTCTATTCAACACACAGCCCCCAAACCCAAAACACAGATAAAACTGATGCACCCCTGACTACATGGAAGATAGAATGTTCATTGACAAATTTCAGAAAGTAGAAAACCAGGCAACCAACCTGCTAGCTCTTACTGTAATAAACCTTGTATTATGAAGTTACAAAAACAAGTCACAGAAATTTAGCATAAGTTCCTCCACAACTCATAAGGCAAAACGTTACAAAAATAAGTTTCCAGTGGATGTGAAACATAACAGGTAACCTTATCCCAGAATATCAGATGCCAATCTGCAAGAACAGGAAACAGAACTGCTTTCAAGAAGAGACATGGATTAAATATATAAAACCCAAGAAATTATATTCTCTGACACTGTAATGTCAGGGTGTTTCCTTTCTCCTACCCAGCATAATAAAAATGGTAGGAAAACATACCTACAGTCCTAGTCACTCAGCACAAATGTTTCTGGTACAGGCTATGGCTGCCTTCAAGAACCCCGACCCAATTTCCCCTACACACCACTTCCATTGCACTCCAATTCTGCTCCAAACAGCTAATCCTTGGGATCTACTCACAACTGCAGCTACTCAGCCTGAGCTAGCACCATGACAGCTACAACTTAATCCAAACACAATCTACATTAATTAATCCTATGGTAATACTGCATTCCTGCTGTGGTAGCCTTAATAGGTAGCTGAACACCACACAGTCCTCCTTGGTCACTCCCCCCCAGTAAGAGAAAACCAAAAAGGTAAAAGCAACAAAACTCATGAGTTGAGATCAGGACAATTACATATGTAAGGCACAAGTTGTGCATGCAAGCAAAGCAAACCATGGAATTCATTCACTAATTGCACTTGCACACAAGTGTTCAGCCATTACATATAATGGCTACTTGAGAAGGCAAAATGCCCCTAGTCTGAATGAACCCACTTCCTTCTTCTCTCAGCTGTAAATGACATCAAATAGTACTGAATACAGGCTTAGGAAGCTAGTTTCTGCTGTCCAGCTTTCCTCTTCCCAAACTTCTCATGCACCACCATCAGACTCGCTTGCTGGATACACAAGAGTCTGAGCAAGTGAAAAACCAGAAAACACTTGGAAATTGAATAAACCGCTGTCCTGGGTTCAGCAGTAGCAGTACATTTTCTCCTTCTTAGTACCTGGTGCAGTACTTCGGTTTTGACTTCCAGCCTGGGAAAAGCACTGATAACATGTTTGTTTTCAGTTGTTGCTAAGTAGTGTTTAGTTTGACCAAGGACTTTCTGAGTCTCATGCTCTCCCACGGAGGAGGGGAAGCAGTAATGAAGCAGACAGGACACTTAACCAAAATTACCCTAAGAGATAATCCATACCACAGCATATCATGCCCAGGATATAGAACTGGGGGCAGTTACCCAACAACGGCTAGATCACTGCGTGGTCGGGCTGGGTACTGGTTGTCAGGTGGTGAGCGGTTGTATTCCCTTGTTACTTCCCTTATCATTATTATTCTTGGTGACAGCAGGAATGACTTGGGTTATACCTTAGTTACTGGACTGCTCTTACTTCAACCCGTGGGAGTTACATTCTTTTGATTCTCCCCCCCATCTCTCCGGAAGTCAGGGGGGGAAAGGGGTGGTGAAAGAGAGATTTCATAGTTCTGATTTACAGCTGGGTTTAAACCACAACAGACCTGCTCAGAAATAATGAAAATATGCCCATATTATGATCAATGTATTCAGACCACAAATAAAAACAGAAGCCCATATTGACTGTGAAACTTGACCATAGTCAAAAACAGGCAAGAAAGCAACAAACTCCTCCTAGAAACTACCAATTCGCCCCTAGAAATTTGCCTTGAAACCAAACGAGGCAGGATAAACACATGACTTAACTACCAAGACCCTGATGGTAGATACGAAGTAAAAACTGTTACATAGGAGAACACAAAAAAGTCTATAAAAGTAGACACAATTAGACAAAACCAAAGTATTTTATTGAGCAAAGAACATATTACATATGACAAAACAGAAAATACTACAACAGACAACAGAAAAGGAGATCCAAACAGCTCAATTTTCATTTCAATTGCTGTACTGAAAAAAATAAGGGTTAGGATTCAGAAGCACCA